ATTTGAAATAAAGTAATACTTTTTTCAAGTAACATCAGAAGCTGCAAAAACACATATTACCCATTTTTCTGCCTTTCTAGGTCATCTGAAATGGAGTACACTACATTTAAAATTAAACAGATCAAGACTTTCTAGCATTTAAGACAACCATGCAAACTCCTTTCTGGAAGAGCCTCTAGGATATCCAGACCATGAAGTAGATTTCTAAAGATTAGCAAAATATTTATTCTAAATAACTTTAAATACAGTATCTTTGAAACAATATCTAACTTTCTATCCATGTTTTATCAGAGACTATAGCCACATTTTTGAATGACTTTGCCTCATTAGCCAAATAGAACAGGAAGTAAAGGTCAGGACCATCTGAAACTTTTTGTACCAGACCCTTATTTTCCATCTCTACATTGGCATTTCTTAGGCTGATTCAAAGCCTGGATCTGACCACTGTATGGACAAGATTTTGGCAGTGCTGTGGAGGAAGACTGGTGCTAGGCTCTGCTTTGTCCTCTTATGCTCCAAATAAAAGCTTTTTAGATGAATGACATAAAATATTAAGACATTTTGCAAAAGATTTTTTTTAAAAAAAACACTACCTGAGCTCCTCGGCCTTCGACTAATACGCTGCAATAGAAAAAAAAGTCAGAATAATCAAAGAATAGCAAACTAATTTTAACCACCATATTTATTTACTTTGGTATAGCCCTCAACTACAAATCCACTCCATTTTCTTAGGTTCCCCTCTCCTAACCAGAAAAGCCACAAGTATCTCGTAAAACTTACCTGGTCATTCACTTTTTCCCTTCCCATTGCTGGTAAAGTCACTGCCAGAACATACCTGCACCCACATAAGAGGCTAAGACACAGAATTTCCCTCACAGTCTTTTATGGATTATCTTGGGAAACCTGGGCGGCAATGCTTAGTGGACTGTGCACAAGGCATTAGCAGGAGTGGAAAGGGAACCCTAAATACAGCCTCTTCTTGGTCTCCATCAATCCACTCATGCTGCCTCAGACCGAATTGCATTCCTCACCATGGCCTCACTCTGTGGGGCTCAGAACAGCTTCTGTGTTACTGCCTAGGCACGCCACACAGGCCATGGGTTTACCTGACACACTGACCAGTGAGACTGGCAAAGATTCTTTAATTAATCCGGCATTATTTCACAGGGGAAAAAATACAGAAACCAAAGATGAAACCAGAAAACCCTGCTGAATCAAACAACAAAGATAAATTGATTCAATGCATTAACTGCACGGAATACATTCTGATGAGTTCCAAAAATACCCTCTCCCAACAGACAGCAATTGAAAGAAAAAATTTCTCCAGGTTTACAAGTGGTGCTAACCACTGATAAATTGTCATCTATTTTAGCCAGATGCATCGGAAACACCTTAAACTATCCTACAACTCTATTGTAAAGCAGATGATGACCTCCTCAATACCTCTGAAAACATTATACAGCATGGCAAGGTTAGAATATAATTCTATCTATCTATCTATCTATCTCTCTCTCTCTCTCTCTCTCTCTCTCTCTCTCTCTCTCTCAAGAAATACTGCTGCATTCTGGCTGCATGGTAGGACTGTACTATTAAATACCGTAAATCCTTTCTTCCAGGTTTTAACATCTTTCCTTGACATAAGTTCCCATCGTTTAGGTCCTAGAAAAAAACCACAAGTAATAATATTACCACTTATCATAATACCATCTATACTGAATATCACTCTAACAAACATTCAGGAACGACATATTGCAGAATAACAAAACATCAGCAAACCTGAACTGTCTGCCACCACATTTGCTGAAATAAAAATTTAAAGGAAAACAAACCAGGAGAATATGGCAATTCAAGCTGAGAAGTCAGGCAAGACAAAAAAGAGCATCACATGCTGAGTCCAACAAGACTGAGCTAAAATCCAAAGAGCATTACAGGCCCATATTCTACCAAGAGGAGAAAAGAGGCAAAAGATTTTAGGTTCTAGATTTTAGTTGATGAATGCAGACTCCATGGTATCTGAGGTTAGTTAAAGCCATAACTAAGGCTCTACGGGACCGAGATCCATACTCCTTCCATTTTGAACAGAGATCACTAACCCAAAAGTACAACCAATCCTTTACCAATGCCAAACGTTCTATTACAGTACTCTTGAATGCTTCCTCCCTCTCCCATTGGATAATGTTTATGAAATGCAAGCCTGCCAGTCTGTAAAAACCTTTGGTGCACAACTAGTTCCCCAGTCTCTCCAGTAAGTTATAAAAACTGAGACGGCAATTCATGAACGTGGTAGGTCTTATAGGGCTTCATTTTAGGTGAAGAGGAAGAAGGCCAGTCACGGAAGTGATTTTCTGGGAAGAGCTGCTGAAAGCTTCTCCTGGGCCTGGCAAAACTAATTGCCGTCTGGCTCTGAGAGGAGGCATGCTGCTAAACCAATTAGAGAAGCTGGTAACGCCTCTATGCCAATGTATTTAAGCAGCAGAAACGCTGCGAGAAGCTCTCCATCTCTGCGCTCTCCGAGGAGCGGTGCCGCTCCCTTTCCTTTCCTGGTGGAGCCTGCAGGGCCGCGCCGCGGGCCCGTCCGGCACGGCGAGGAACCACGCGGCCGACACCAGCGCCGGGAGCGGCCACGAGGCCGGGAACGCGCGGCTGGAATTGGCGACCAGGGCGCTGCTGTCTTGGCAGGGCTCGCAAGGAACTCGGTTCCCTTGGCCGCTCCTGGGCAGCTGTGCTGCAGACAGAGGGGCCAGGGCAGCAGCGGCTTTTCCTCTGCGGCGCCCACGTGGAGAGAAGGCGCGATATGGAGCCGGCGGGGACCTCGCCCTCACAGCGAGCAATTCTCTCGCGCAGAGCCTGGACGGGATCCGCCGTTCAACATTGAAGAATGTGGATCAACCATTACAATGAAAAACTGGATAAATACTGTCATGGGTCTACACAGTTTAGGTTTATGCTCAGAGGAATAGTGGATGTGTCTTTACGAACAAGCCTGGGTCTGTTGGTAGATGAAATCTAAAAACTGTGTCTACCTACTCCACCCTGATGTTTGGCACAGCAGTAATTTATCAGAGCATTATTGAGAATACTAAGTTGAGATGAAAATACATAATCCATTCATGCATATCATCTCCTGCTAATGTCTGCATTTCTTTTCTTCCTTCAAGTCATCCAAACATTACCCATTTATACCATGAACTCTGCTAATAACCATTGTCTTATCTAGAATGGACCACACGATAGACTAATAATGCACATGGGAGTAAAGTCTTGGTACTATACCAAAGTCTACATATGATTTATCGTATCTTAGTGAAAAAAAGTCAGTATTCGTCACACTGTAATATTCTGCAGCTGCCAACACTTACATGCTTTACTCAGTCTACACATACAGTATGTAAACATTGTAGCTTAAGGAGTTCTTACCCTCAGGTGTATCGTACGTCAAAGAGTCGATGGAAATCAGTACGTCATCCCTGAAGGGATGACTATACTAAAGAAAAAGAACGATTAAATATTAGAACAAACTTTCAAAGTAATATCTTTAATGTATATTTTATATATTGTTATGAGAACAATTTTTTGTTTTACCCAAACATGAAGTTATCATTATGGGGTTTTATTGGCTAAAGCTGTAAGTCAGCAATCTGGAAATATTAACTCCTAGAGGAACCCGATGTACTTTAAGCATATGTGCAAGTCATTCAACCTAAGGCATAAGCCCTGCCAAAACAGGGCTCCAGAGAGTTTTAAAATGCAGTTAAGTCGCTCTCTGACAGTTTCACCCAAATTTCTGTTGTAGAAACTAAAAGCAGCCCGCAGCTAAGACCAACAGCTGATGACATTTAGAAATATCCGATGTGGCACTAACCGAGAAAATCCATCTAGAGCCAGATTTAGCCGGCGGCGGCACAAAACATCTCCCGAACGGGAAAGGGCGCATCCCGGGATAAACGGAGATGCACGCAAGAGGACCATGCCCACACCTTAAACACAGAACGGCTCCCAAGGGAGAACTCACTGAGTTCCCCACTTTCTGTAGTTTCATTGGAAACCCCCCGTCTGACGCAAACTAGCCGGGGTTACGGACACTGTGAAGTCAGCTCGCACTTGTGACTAAGTCGCGTATCCAGCACGGGCAGTCCCAGGTGTCCGTTCTGCGGCTTTATCCTGGGACCTGGCTCTTGCCAGCCCTCTCCTGCCAAGGCACAGGAGTGCGCGGGCCAGCACAGACGGCACGGTTGCTCTCAGTCCCCGCTTCGCCGCCCGCCTCAGGACGGCGCCCGGAACCCGCGGCCACCCCGGTCCCATAGCTCACCTCTTCAATGATGCGGGTCATGGATGCCATGAAACGGGCGCTGCTGTTCCGCAGCCCCTCCTGCATCGTGGGATCAAACTCCATAACGAAAAGCCGTTTGCACCGCCGGCCACCTTCCACTCTGTACACCGCGGCCGGCCCCTCCCGCCGCAATTCAAACCGCCGGCCTTTTGCCGCGTCCGATTGGTTGTTTCTAAAATCAGTTCTGGCGCTGTAGCCAATAGAAATCCGCGGTAGGCGGGCTTTATAGTCTGATTGGTTACTGGCGCTGCTGAGTGCCCTATCACCCCGCCTCCAAGCCCTGGCTTTGGGCGCCAAGTCCGGCGCGACGCGGGGCGTTGTTCTGCCTCTCAATGTCGGCTTGCTGCGGGCTGCCATTGGCTGCGGCGCACGGCCCCCCTCCCGCCAGCAGGACGTGCCGCCTCAGGGCCAGGCGGCGCCTCGGGGCGTTCTCCGGCCTCGGCAGCTCCAGACAGAAATGTATCCAATGTTGTGTCTCTGTCGGATTCGGCACAGACGGCCAGAGGAGTCGGGGCTGGGGAATTCGGCGTTCAGTGGCCGGCGGTCACGCCCTCCCCAGTCGCTCTCTTGGTCCCCAGAGGCTGCAGGCCTTTGGGAGAAGGCCAAAGCATTACCTGCCTACTGGCACTTTTATTTTGGATACCATTCTATTCCTTCCCAATATTCTTCAAGTAACTATTGGTTTTCTATAAAGATTTTTTTTTAAATACCATCAAGCACATCAATTTTCCTGGACCTTCCCATTAAAAAAAAAACATTTTCCTTTTTGGTAAAGACGTGCCTTTTTCATAATCCCTTACTGTTTAAAGCTATCTGTATTTACTTACTTCTTATAAACTTGTGTTTTTATTTTTTTAAACGGTAGGAGTTCAGAAAAATACATCTTTGATCTACATTTAAGCATTCTTACTAGTATGATTGTGAAGTTTTCACAGCTGACAAGATCTGTACTAAGGCCTTACTTACCCTGTTTCTGGCCAGTCTTACCCTTTTTCTGGTTCTTCATTAAGGCCTTATAATTTTTCAGGGTATGATTTTCTGCCAGCACTGCATTGAAATACTGCTCTCAGTGGTTAAATCGCATGTGTGTGTTGAACGGGCCAGCCAGAAGAGTACTGAAGTGTTGATTTCAGCATGCAGGAAAAGATGAGTGTGGTAATTCCAAGGTGACACAACAGGTCCCACTCCTACATTTTTCACTGTGTTTCCACCAGGATGACTGCAGGACAAATCATCTTTAAAAACCCAGAATCTCACTGAGGAGCACCTAATTCTATGTTCTTTATTTTCTTGATACATACCCAGGAGTAGATTTGCAGAAGCTCTCAATACTTTGTCTTTACATTCGCTTTGATGGAAGCTGTGCTTTGAATTTATCAAAGCTTATATAAACTTCCTAAGATTTAAAAATAGGGGGGAGAAATTGTAACTACCCTAAATAAATTAGAATCTCTGTATTGCAGATTGACAAAATTGATGAGCACTCAGTAGTTTGAAGCAAGTGCCTATAATCTTTCCTTTCCCATTGGTAAAATATACTACTAATTTCACGCCCTTGAATAGATGAAATATAACTTCTGTAATACTTCCAGCATGATAAAATATCAGGTTAGTTTGGAATAGTAGTAGAAATTTTATTAGTAGACAAGTAAATCTGTACATACTCAGGGCCAGCTTTACATGATATGCAGAGAATGTGATCTGGAGCCCCACATTTAGAGAAGGATAAAAGGAAATAACAGGTAACTAACTATTCAGTACTTCCAGCTTTCAAAGTGCTAATCATATGGAAAAAAAAATGCATCATGAAGTCACTTGTGGGGAAAAAGAAGCATCACACTACCTCTGTCTTTTCACTAGCAGGTTTAGGGTTGCCATGGCTTCATGGTGGTGTTCTGTGGTCACCTTGTAGTGCTTTGATGACTTAAAGTTGAAATGCGCTGCACACAGAGGATGAGATTAATTACTTTCCTCTGACATTTCCTAGCTTAGGACTCACTGACTTCACAGCCTAAATAATAAATGTGGCCCCTGACTAATTTAATATTTGAGGTAATCATCAACCTAGAAAACAAGGGTGTGATCCAGTTATTTCAGTTTTATCCAGAAGTTACTTTTGTCTATTTTGAATTCATGGTACACTTCAGTAGAGTGACAAGAGCACTCAAGTGCAAAAAACTCCTTCTATCACCCATATGAGAAAATGAGATTGACATTCAGCAGCTGTGCATGGAAACTGTCCTAAGCCAGCAGCAACTGGTATATTTGATAAGGTGTAACCAAAAATTTTTTAACTGCATGATCTTAAGAACCACAAAGTCAACAAATATAAGATAATGCTTGGGTGAATTTATGTTGACTGCAAAGCAAGACTGTGGATCAAACTGTTGACAAACTAAAGAAAGTGGCACAATGTTCACTGTTTACATAGTAATGAGTAAACAGTGAACATTGTGCCATTTTTTGCTAGAAAAGAGAATGTATTAATATGATACAGAAACAGACATTTCAAGAAGAAAACTTCTTTGGTGCCTTTGTAACATCAGAACCTCATCCTCTATTCTGTTCAAGCTCTGCATCTTGTGCCTTTCTTTTGAGTAGATCTGTTCAGAAATATATGACAGAAGATTTAACTTCAACTATCCTTTGATTAGTTTGACTTGTAGAAGAATAATTTGTGGCTCTGAGTTGAGTGTGTCATTGTTGACCATATGGTTTACCATATGCTGTGTGTTACTATTTTATTCATGATGTTTATTCATATTTGGAGAGGCCTGTATCCTCCCCAGCTCATCATTTAGTCCAGCCTCCAGTTGTATTTTATCCTTTTAATCCATTTATCACTTTTTTTTAAAAATAAGTCAAAACATCTGCATTGAGTGATCATTTTTACTATTCTGCTCTGAACTCAGATCCTTACTACTTAAGCATCTGGAATAACAAATAATTTCCTGAAAGCAACTTCTGAAGAACTATATAAAAGGCAATTTATGCATCTATTTTCTATAATGTTGATCTTCAGATACAGCCAAAACATCACATTGATTATTGAAATGACAAACTCCTCTCTCTTCAGTATATTTCTTTGGGATTGCATGCTGCTCTCTCTCTTTGTACAAGGGAATAAAAAAGCATAAAATAACTGCTCTTTTCCAGAAAACCTTGCACAGCTCAGCTTGTGTCAAGCCGGTGAATATAATTAGAAATTCAGAGACTGTGAAAAAAAACCACTGAGGAGAGTGGAGGGAGGAGTAGTTGTAGGTGTGCAGGAGAGCTGTGGAGAAGGGAAGTGAGCATCCCAGGAAAACTCCACAGTAAAAGAGTCAGCACAGGCCAGGTTCTGCAGCAGGCACTTTGAATCATTCCCTCTGCAAAGGAGCCTTGCCTTCCCAACTCTCTGAGAGGTGGGAGGGAAAGCACTATTTTATGCCTTCTCACTTACAACTCCACCCAAAGTCATAAATTAGTTTCTTCACATAAGGCAGTGCCTGGCATGAGTGTCTGTTACACAGAGAGATGTTTCCAAACCTTATCATAATTGAACACACCCAAGCACTCCATAACTCTGCTTATATAAAGCATGAAAGTAAAGAAAACGAAACAAAACAAAAAAAAAACCCAACCACACATGGCCATCAGGAAGACATCAAAAGATCTTCCTTGCCAAGTCAAAAATGTCACTGAGCTTCCAAACATAGTCCTGGGATTAATAACATTATTTCTATAATTTCCCTATTTCTGAAAATTGCGTGCAGTCCTGCTGGAAGCACATTTGGAGCAGGCTCTAAGGCTGTGCTTACTGGATCCCTTGTTTTCTGAAGGCTTTGTAATGCCCCCAGTTGTCAAGAGCATGTGTAATTTTGTTTGGGAGTAATTTTATTAGTTCCAGTGTAATCATTCCTCTGCCAGAATGGGACTTCACCATTTTCATTTTTTGGTTCTGATCTGCTGGATCTGGCTGGGAGGAAGCTAGCTCTTCATAGCAGCCCTTTGGTGCTAAGTCTTGGGTTTGTGGCTAAAGAAGGTGATGGTGGTAAGACAGTAATTGTGTAGCTATTGCTGAGCAGTAATTGCAAACACAAAGCTTTTGCTTTTTTCCCCACTGTGCTTCTTCTCCCCCACTCCAGTGAGTATGAGTAGGCTGGACCTATGCAAGAAGTCAGAAAGAGACCAAATAAGACATCTGAACCTGAATTGAGCAGAGGGATGTTCCATGTTGTACAACCTTACGCTCAGCAATCAAACCTGGGGGTAGAGGAAGAAGAAGATGAGAGGTTTGTTTTTTTTTCTTTCAGGTTGGCCATTACTTGGAGACTCCTCTTAAGGGAAATAATGAGTCATTGCCTTTGCATCACTTAGTTCTCATAGGACTCTTTTGCATCACTAAGTTCTCACTTAGTTCTCTCAAAGAGGGATGCTTTCCCCCTTCTGTCACTTACTCAAGTGTTTTTACCTTGATTTCTCTGTTTTCCTACATTTTCTCTTCCTGTTTTCTCCTCTGTCCTGGGATGCATGTGGATGCTTGGCTTCTGCAGGACTCAGCCTACAGCAGGTTATTTCTGCTGTGTAATTTGGTTATTTCTGAAGCCTTCTGATCACTGAAATATGTTTGACTGCCAGCTCATTTATAAAGACAGGTCCCAAGTTCAACCACTCTGTCTGTGGATAGAGGAGTAAGCAATTATTAGGACAACAATCACCAAGAAATGGTCAATCCTTTTTCCATCACATGTGGGAATGCAGAAGAGAGAACAAAAGTAATCATTTAATCATTTAGGACTCAGGGTATAAAGCACAGAAATCTGATCTAATAGAATTGTATTACCATTTGTTATAAATGATCAAATTGTGAGCCAAAATTATCAGAAATTTAGTCAAGATTTATTAATCTGTCTGCGAGACCGAAGTTCAGTCTTCGAAACCACCACAGCCAAAGAGACAGCGTCGAGCCCGGGATCGGCGCTGGGTGAACACGGATCTGACCTCCAAGTGTCAGAGTCTCCCTGTTCACGCTCACAGCTCCGCACAGCGAGGTTTTATGCAGTTTATTCTGCCTGAGGCAAAGATGACCGAATGTTCTTTGTGTCTCTTCACATGCATCGCTGTTGCTTTC